TTTTTTGGACCTTTTACATAAAAGGATAGAGGTGTTTGTTTTTCATTTTCCATGTCGGTGTCACATGTGGCCAGACAACAGCACAGCCCGCAGTGCAGTGAGGAGACAGGTCCCAAGGGACAGTGGCTGTGTACTTTACCAGGTTAAAAACTGGGATTACAGCTCTGTGTGTCTGCACAGTCCAAGCCACAGTTGCTGGATTAGAGTCTCTTATATCTCCTCGGTTCTGTTCAAATATCTTTAAACCTACTCCATTCGGCCCATAGTACTTTGCCTTCATATACCTTAGGTATTTAATAACCCTCCAAACTTTTCTTTCAGCTCTATTTTGAAGATGAAGCAACAGCAGAAATGTATGAACTGAACCCAGAACACACATTGCTACAAGTGCTGCAGCACGAAAGGTGAGGTTCTACCTGTTCATGTCCAGAGAGAGCGTGAAGGCAAAAAGTAGGAGCTTTGGGCTCCAAATGCAGTTTGTTCCCTGGTTTAATAGCCCTGCCTCTTGGACTTCAATAGTCCTAACTTTTCTCTGAAGGTGTAAAGCAGTGGGACCTCGTGTATTTTGTGTCTGCCTTTAGTGACTTACATATTTTTTCCCCCCGCAAAAAATGAACAATTCTTTCCAGGACTGGGTGGAGATGGAAGAGGAATTGGATTACACACAAGTAGCAGCACAAAAGGGCAGTTTCAGATCTACACAGAGCTACTTAAAAAAAGCAGCAGCATATAAAGGGAGCATGTTGAAGTTAACAAAGCTCTCACTGTTAATAACGCTGTGCGAGCAGCCCCCAGCGCAGCATGCAGCACAGTTTCACTCTGAAACCAACTTTCGAGGGTTGTGCTGTTATTTAGAGAGAAGAATTTGCTGTTTGTGCAGCCAAAAAGTTACTGTGCAGCCTGTGCTATGAACTTGCACCATCTTGTAGCTGGCTGGAAATCACCTGCTGCACAGCGCCCATGGCTTGGTCTGGCAGAGCCCTTGGTCCGCTGCCGCGGGCTGCGTCTGAGCTGCCACTCCATAAAGCTCAGCAGCGTGCGTTAAGTCCTCAGATTTCAGGCTGTAAGGGCAGTTGCAAAAGCAAATCAGTCCTCAAATTTCAGGCTGTAAGGGCAGTTGCAAAAGCAAACTCCTTCCAGTAGGAGAATCACATCTGTTTTAATTAGCAGTAGCTGCTGGGAGAGGAGTTGATGCATAAAACACTCCTCCTTGAGTGAGGGTAGCCCTGGCCAGGAAAGGCTCTGCTAATCAGCAAAAAAAGCTTGTCAGCAGCCTATGGGAGGTCGGTCTTTATTGAGCTGGGTGGAAGCCACTCGCTTTGCATGACATTTGGCCAGCTCCGAGGAAGCCAAAGGACCCCTTTTAATCTTTGCAGGTATTTTGTAAAGGCTGGGACTCCGACAGTTTTGGCATTAGTAAAGCATTCTCCTTTCTCCAAGAAATACTTCTCTGGAAAGAAGGTGCATCGACTATAGCAAATGAGAGTTAACCAAGAGGAATCCTGTGCAAGAGGCTGCTGTTTGTTACAGCTACAGACTGCAAACTTCTGCTTGAACAAAAATACCTTGCACACGTCAGGGGAGAAATAATCTTGGCACACGGGGAAACTACCAGGAGAGCAGCACAGGCGAATAAAGGGCTTGCAAGAGGGGATTATTTGTTTGAAAAGAAACCCAGCTGGCTTGCAGAAGGTCTCCTCTACAATAGGCTGCATGTGGTTTTGAAATAAACCTGAAGCGGTGCCAAGCACCGCCTGCAGTTTGAAGCAACAGCAGTTGCGAAGGCACTTAGTTACCTGTGAAAAATCACGGATTTCTTTGGCGGTGGGCTGGAGTTCCCAGCAGTGGTCTGGGGAGATACCTGCGTGTTGCAGCAGGACGGTTGCACTCACATCCCTGCTTGGGATGAAGCAGCCCCTGAGTTTTTTCATTGTTTGGCTCTGCTGCTGGCCAGGGTAAAGCTGAGCTCTTTACTCAGAGCAGCGTGTTTTACCGACCCTTTTGCTACCTTACTTGTCCTAGAACACCGGGAAATAAACATGTCTATTTTAAGTAGACTGACTTCTGCCTAATAAATGAGACAGGAATTTTTCTCACCTCATGAAATGCTACAAGAGAATGACAAACGGTAATTTCAAACCCAAATGTAACAGCCTTACCCATTACACTTAACTGGTGCAGCCAGCACTCGGTGTCTTCTGCACTTGTGCGCTCGCTTTCAGCATTTAATTAAAGGCAATTCTAAATCTCTCATTTCTTGCTCCTCTGCAGTCTCTCTGTGACTGCAGAAATGCACTGCAGGTTTAGACACATCTAACGCAGGGGGCATTAAAAAGCTGCTCAGCCATAAACACACCTGCTTAGATCATGGAGACTGGCTTCAGGCAGCTCTGAAGAAAGCATTTCCATTTTGCTATTCCTTAATTTCTGCACCTTGCACACATACAGCAAAAGTGTCTCCATCTGAGGATGCTGCAATTTAATCTCCAAAGCTCAGGGTTAGTTCACAGCCGGGCAGGGGGATGGCTGCCTTTTCCCACAATGCTGGTTCTCGCCTTGCCCCTTGCCTCTCACAGGGCAGAGAGGTGGGCAGCCAGGTAGTACAGGCTGCAGCCGTTGCAGGCGATGCAGCAGAGGTTGCAGAGGGAGGACAACGTGCGGTAGAGGCTGAGCTGCTGGCACAGCTGCCCATAGCTGGGGTTGGAGGCCTGCAGCTGCTTGCAGGACCTGCTGGTGACCGTCCCAACCTCCTGGCCAAGGCCGTGGCTGCGCTCAACGAGCTGCATCTCTGTCACGATGTCGCAGGCAGCCTGCCCGAACCACTGCGCGTTCAGCACCGAAGCAATGACACAAATGAAGAAGATGATGATCTGCAGGGGAGCAACACCCACAGTGAGCGTCTCACACGCGTGCCGGATTAGATTTCTCCCTCAGCCTCTCTTACACACAAGGCTCGCTGCAAGCTGGATGCTGACTGGCTTCTTTTAACCAGAGCCATGTGTGGACCTGGTCATATTTTGCAAACCAGCCTTGGGAAAGCAGAGTGGGACCCCATGGGAGAAGGGATCTGGGCTATAGCCAGGGCATGTTTTAAAGCGGGAGGATACCTGGGTCGTCTGTTCGTCGCTGAGCGGCTCGCTGGGGTGGTGCATGGCAAACAGGGTGAGGTTGAGGAAGGCACAAGTGGAGCTGATGTGGCAGTAGTAGGGGAAGAGCTGGCCCTGGATGAAGCCATAGGTGTGGTGGGGAAGGCAGCTGCCCATCACGAACCCTGCAAGGAGGGGAGAGCTGGTAGGTCCTGGGGGCAAAGCCCCCTCCCCTGGGCAGAGATCCACGGCAGCGTGAAGGGACCACAACCTACCGGCCACAAAGGTCACCCAGACCTGCATTCCCCAGGAGGTGGCGAGGAAAACCAGATGCAGCAGCTTGATGGTGTTGGAGGGCTCCGTGACAGTCGGCATGGTGTCCTGGCCAGGGATGGGTCCTTTCATGTCAGCCGAGCCACCCCCAAATTCAATGCTGAGCTGCAGTTACTGCTGTCACCTTGCTGGATGCAGGGCAAATGCAGTTTAGCTTCACAAGCCTCCAGATTTGGGAAGAGCTTTGGAGCTGGCACAGCCCCTTCCCAGTCCCACCACCACACACCTGACCAAACTGCAATCCCAGTTCTCAAGCCCCTGTGTCTTAGGGGCAGGGCACTGCGTCAGCACTGGGTAACTGGCCGTTTGGGGTGGACTTTCGGCAAAGTCCAGCCAAAGCCCCCTCTGACCCCTGGCAGCAGGAACAAGCAGCAAATCAATACAGAGGGGAAAAGGAAAAGCCCTGACAAATACACCTGCCCCTGCTGTGGCCACCAAAGAGGCCTCTGGGCCAGTCCCCCTGTTTAAAACAGCAACAGCTTCTGCACAATTCAACCAAAAAGCCTGGGGGTCGAAGAAGCAGGACTGGCTCCTGGGAGCATTCCCCTGCTCTGCTACAAGGAGCACTTTGGATATTAATTAAAACAAAGCTTACAGGAGCAGCCCATCAATTCTGCACCTGCTTTATTTCTCCTCCTCCTCCTTGGCCAGCCGCCTTGGGGTGTGAATTACAGCGGGGACAGCCTTGGGAGAGACAGGGCCATCTATTTACATCCTCCTCCCCCTGCACGGTAGGTAAATACACGCTGTGTTTTTATATATCAGTGCTGTGTATTTATTTAGACATCTACAAAATCAGGTCCTTGAAACCTTCTCATGATGGTGGGAGGGCGCTCAGATCTCACCCAGAGAGCTGGCCTGTAAATCCCCATGGCCTTTTCTTTGCCTAAGTCTTTCTTTCTGGGATGCATCTCGGCTCCATCCTCTGTCAGCCCTGCCCACTGCACGATGGCAGGGGCCTGGGGACAGCAGCTGTGGTTTTTGGTGGGGCTTTGTTCCCTGCACCATCCTGTGCTGGAAGGCAGTGATGAGGGTCCCGGATCTGCCTTTTCAAATCATTTGCCTCCATGCAGAAATCGGTAGCTGGGAGCAGCGGCATGTTTTCCTGCGAGAAGCCACAGCTGGGAGGGTTACTCAGAGGAGGGGCTAACACCCCATAGGGACCTCATTTTTTTAAAGGAAAAACAGTGATTGATTGGTAAATTGGCCCCAGAGCAGTGCATTTGGTGGAGAGGGCAAATAGGGGGGCTCTGGGAAAGGCTGGTGAGGGCAGACTGCTCCCAACAGGTTCCTGCACATCCACCAGCACGTTCCTCCTCCCCAGGAGGTGTGGGACGAGGTGGTTGGAGTTGGGTGCTCCAGGGATGCTCCAAGCCACCTGGTCCTGCTGCCCACCTCATCATTCCCTCCTGACCGTGGCCTCACAGCGGGAAAAAGCACAGCCCTTAAAGAGAAGGGGAGGTCAGGTGAAGTGTAATGTTGGGCAAATACAGAATTCCCTGCACTTAATCAAGCAGCGGCCCTTTCTGACACTCAGTAGGAAGGATGGCTCGCATCCTGGTGATAAAAAGGCAGGATTGCTCCGAGTTTCGGGAGATCAGAGGGCTCTGTAAGAACTGACTGTTTTGCTGACAAGATGGCTTTATCTTGTGGTGATAGCGCGGCGGGGGGAGGTCAGGGCAGGCCTCGCACCAAGGTGTTTATGGTTTATACAGCAGAGATTGGGAGAGTACGGCCGCAGCCGGCCCCAGGAGTAGGAGCTGCTGGCTGAGAGGGGCCCGCAGCTCCTTCTGCTGTGGAATTTGGGTGGCAAAGCTCCTTTCTAGGGGTTGGGTGTTGCAGAGAGGAAGAAAACACCCTGGGGTGCCTGGAAAAGCCCCTTGTGCTCGTTTCTGCTACCCCCCCAGCCTCATCTTACCCCAGGCATGGCATCACGAGCATCTCGGGAAGAAGCAAGGTCTTTGCAGTGGTCCTAACCCCATCCTCTGCTGCTGCAGACCTCAGCGAAACAGCTCCACCAAAGCAGCTGGGGGTAAACACACCTGGAGACACTCGGGTCATGAGTGCTGGGGGCAATTGGGGATTGGTACCGATGCCTTTAAGGCTCTGGGTTGCAGCATCTGCCTGCACTGACTCCCTGTGTCCTTGGAAACTTAAAGAAACAAGGTTTAGCTTTGTCTTTGTTTTGCTTTTTCAAGGCTGGGCCACACAGCAGCCCTCTGAGCAGACACAAACACATGTATTATTTTTCTTTTTAAGGCACTTTTATTGCCACTCCCTCCACAGCTCCATGGGGAGTGGATTTCAGCCCAGCAGCAGCAGAGGCTCTTTGCCAGCCCTGCCCAGGAAGAGGAGCAGTACCCAGCAGCTGTGGGGGGAACTGGATGCACCGGGGAGGGGTACAGCACCCTCCCCACATCACTGCCCCCTCGCTCCCTTTGCTGCCTCGAAGGGAGACACTTTACCCCGTGAAGAAATAGTAAGAAAGAAACAACAAAACCGGTTTAGGAAGACTTTAGATCATATAAAGACTCAGGTAGCGTTAAGTGAACTAGAAAACCAAGTCCTGTCCATCAGCTTATAAAATTTCTAAATTACAAAAGAAAAGACTCAACACATCAGTGCAAAGGGGGAGGTTGTGGAGTGATCCCCCAGCCCCTGGGACCATTCTGAAGCCAAAACCGCCAGGAAGGCAGCGTCTGGGTGTTGCCATCTCATGTCCCCTTCCACCACCGAGGTGCCCCCTTGTCTCTCTGTCTGTCTGTCTGTCCATCAGCAGGGGGAGGTTTAGGACCACTCCAGAGGTCCTACAGCCGCACGATCAGGTCCTCCTTGTTTTTCAGC